CGACCATTATGACATATTACAACTTTTGGTATTAGTTGTAATTAAGGTTGCAACCTAGGTTGTAATTCGTAATGTCCGTAATTATTACTTACAGCAACCTTAAGAGCAGTGTAGCAGTTATATACTGATTTAACTTGTAAGCCAGCCAAGAAATGAGCTTAAGAACACATCAAGTTCTTGCTTATTATCAACTGAAGCTGGAGGTTTTCTTCATTATATCAAACCTTTATTAGTAGTTTTGTTATATCAGAGCTAATTTAAACATAAAAATTAAAAATAATCTTCGTTATCATTATAATGAGGTTATACTGTATTCACAACCTTGAGTTTCAACCAAAAGAATGCTACTAGACATTTCTTGAGAAAATGGTTGGAATTAGTAAGAGAAATTTAATGAATAAGTAAAAAAAATAAAGTAAAAGGTAATACAAGAAAGTTTATTTAATTAAACGGTCGATAACTATGTATAGTCTGATGTAACAACCCTGCGTCACTATTTTTAATTAAATAAACTTTCTTGTATTACCTTTTACTTTATTTCTTTTACTTCGTTAAATTTCTCTTACTAATTCTGGCCAATTTCTCAAGAAATATCTAGTAGTATTCTTTCGGTTGAAACTCAAGATCTAGTTGATCTCTCATTTGTTGCGTTACAAGATCAGTTTCGTGAGGAAAGAGCATCTCTAAAATGCTAGACCAATTTGTTCTTAAGCATATTTCTTGGTTGGTTTACAAAAAAAAAATAGGACTCGTTTAAAGTTGAATCAGTACATAATTGCTACACTGCTCTGGCAAGGTACCTTTGTGAAAATTCGGCTATATAAAGTAAGGCTTGATTAGAAGAGTTTTCTTTTTGCTTATCGCTGCTTTGTGGGTTAAATACATGAAATTATTTATTAATCTTTTAATTTATAGTTTAGTTCAAGTCCACTCTATAAAGAAAGATCAGTATGGTTATTTTATTTTCTCAAGGATCTCAATGTTACAGAGCTGGAAGTGATGAAAGGCAAATGACGGGCTTACAGTTGAGATTTCGAAAAGAAAAAAAATGCCTTATATGGGTTTCAATAAAGTCGTAAACGTCAAGAGTATATACTATTCCACTCGATTATGTTGATAATCGATTTACACCTGTCAAGAATCTTCTTTTATATTTGTCAAAGCGTCACATTTGGTTATAAATTGGATACTTTATTTCTACAGTGTGTTAGAAAACAATGAGCAATTATGAATTTTTTAAGAAATTAAGCTAATTGCAATCATCTTTTTTTTCTTTAATGAAATAAAGAATAGTACTCAAATGGATAAAAACAAGCTCAAGTCAATACTGCAACAGATCATAGCTCGATGGTAGAAAAATAACGAATCACAGTACTTGACGAATGATAATAATGATCTTGAAGGCTTTTGATGTTCCCGAAAATAAAACTATAGTTTTCTTGAATCGTTGTTTTTGGCGTACAATAATCCAACCGATTATCAACGTTTGTCTTCTGCATTGTCGGTTCCTTACATGGCGCACAATGAAGATCTCGAATCATACTATTCATTTCCGGGCAATTCATATGTTAATTATAAGTCAGATGAAAATGAAGAATTAGGTTAGTATATATTAATGGTTTTATTTTACATATATTTTAGATACTGTGATGGTAGAGGATTCAAATATATCAAATCAGATTTAAGATTCTTTAAACTCTACCTCTGAACCATTAATTTCTGGCAAGTTTTTTTTTTCTATTTAAAAAAAAAAATTTGATTTCAAATAATTTGATCAATCATGCAATTACGATTAGGATCGATCAAAGAAGGCACAGCTTCACTAAACAAAGCCAGTAAGAAAAGCACGAGTATGAGCATTGGTTCAGAATTAATCATCACAGGTTGAAAAGGCATGGGCACAGGAAGTATTTGTTCAGGGCCAACCATTACAGGTTGAAAAAGTATAAGCGCATCACAAAAGAATACTATTAAGATGAGCAAGTGCAGTATGAAAGAACAAAAGGCATTTGAAGATTTCTCTCCAATAATTGATTTTTTTTTCTTCTTAATAGAGTTTTTGTTTTTTTTTAATGAAT